AATCTTAATACAATAATAGAATAACAAATAGAGCAAAATAGCTCCAAAATCCTCTCTAGATAAAGGGCTTCGGCTTTAAAATAATTAAAAGTAGAAAAATCATGAATAAATTGTTAATTAAATTACAGTCGAGTCTCGGTAATTTGTACCCCGCTAAATAGAAAAATCGCGATAAATCGAAAAAAGTCTATCCGCTTGAAATTAAATCATTCTATATAATTCTCGCTAATTTGAACTTCTGTGATGATGCCCTTGCCATTTCGAACTATCGGGACTCGACTGTATAAAGAAAAAAATTGACTCTACACTTCAAAATAATAATAATAAAAAAATTCTTAACATATTTCCCACATATTTTTACGATTCATTAAGTCTCAACTAGAAATCAGAGAGTTGCTTCGAGCCGTAAACCCAATTTGTGCTTAATAACAAAAATTCTATATAAAATTTAAATAAAAATAAAGATTTCTTCCTCTTCTTCTATTATACATAATTGTAAATTTGTTCTGAATTTTAAACTCCAATTGCAAGAGAATGAAATGTAAGGAATTGGAACTTGAGTTTTTTTTTGCTTTCATTGTGTGCGTGTGTGTATATTCTGTTTAGCTAAGCAATTCACTTGTCTGTGTGTGTGTGTGCCATTCAATTTTGCTCAGCAACCCTAAAAGCATGCAATTATATTTTTTCAGATTTCAATAAATGCCAACTGTAGCGGGGGGCGGCTGCACGCAACATAAGTTTAGGGGGGCGGGGCTGTTAAAAAAAAGTAAAAAAAAAATGAAATGAGAGTGGGCCCCGTCGTCTTTGGGTGGGTATTTACAAACGAATATGGACGCCCCGCAGCGTTGTTTATGATTTCTGTGCGAGTTTTCAATAAGCAGCTGAAAGCGAAAAGCAGAGCCATCAAGAAGATAGCAATAGGAAAAAAAAAACACATAGAAGAAGAAGAAGCAAGTGCTGCTTGATATGATGAGTGGAGAGGGCAGACAGAGAGAGAGAGAGAGGGAGAGAGAGAGACAGCGTCCTCAGTGCTGCTCAGTCCAGACTTCGCTGATTTCATTTGGCTGCATTGCAACGCTTTTTAAAGCATACTTTTCGGCTGTTGATTTTATTAGACGCAGACGATAGACTGCGCTAGGGGCGGAACGGGACGGGGAGTGGGCGTGGACGTGGGCGTGTGTGACTGTTGGCATGCTGCGAAAGAGCATTATATACTGATTCAATAATGTGGTCAAGAGAGTGCAACATGAAGAGGCAAAGGCAGAGGCAGAGAGAGTGTGTGAGAGAGAGAGAGAGAGAGAGAGAGAGAGTGGGATTAGTTGACCCGTCACGGAAATGCAATTTGTTAAGGACAAAAACGAGCGTAAAAATGTCTTAACAAGCGACAGGGCACGGATCATGCACAAGGCAAGACAAAGAGAGGGGGAGAGTGAGAGAGAGAGAGAGAGAGAGACAGAGAGACAGACAGAGAGCGAGCATGTCTGCATTTTATAGACGCCTTGACAAATTTAAGGGCTGTGGCTAACAATAAAAAGGCGTAACGGCATTTAAAAGCCAGCAGACGCATTTCGATACATCAATATACAAATATACATACACACATATGTATGTATATGTATGCATACACATACTTGTGCGCATAAGTGTATACATTTTCCCATATAAATATATACGTAAATCGTTGTTGGCTTTGTTTGCAGCTCAAACAATAGTTGCAATCAATTGCCCTGTGGGCGTTTGGCCACGCCCAGTTCATTGCATTGCCATGCTTTGCATTCACAAACACACACACACACATATATATATACACTCATGGTCAAATTAATAGGTGTGACCCAAAGATTCTAGCATATTTTGGAATAATTACGGTATGACAACATCTATCAGCACGAAATTTTTTTTGTTAGGTATGGCCACACTATTTGATAAGAAAATAGGTAAATCCCCCCAAAAAATTTACTCGCTAAAAAGTTTTGGCTATTATACATTCTCTACCTCAAAATTGACCTGGTCACATTAATAGGTGTGTTTAACTAAACAAAAAATTATTAAAATATTAAAGTGTTTTTGAGTAAGCAAAGGTAGTATTATTATTGAATATAATTTGATTGAAGCATAAAAATTTTCATTTGCAACATTTAAATAAAATTAGATGGGTCGTGGAGTTCACTGCAGTGCTGAAGAGAGAAATCTCGTTCTCAAGCTTCGTGAAGAGGGTAAAACTTATAAATACATTGCCTCACTAATGGGACGATCGGAGAACTTCGTTACAAATGCTCTAAAACCAAAAAAAGATAAAAAGAAGCCGGGTGCCCGGAGGAAAACTACCGTAAGAGAGGATTCCCGTATAGTCACCTTGGCTAAAAGGGACCCATTTAAGTCTTCGAGAGCGATTGCCATCGAAATGGGCAATGTTGTATCGGCACGAACTATTCGTCGACGGCTATTAAGCTCGAATCTACCTGGGAGAGTTGCTCGCAGGGTTCCTCTATTGCGAAAATCAAATATTCGGATGAGGCTTAATTTTGCTCAAACTCACAAGGCCTGGTGTGGTTTAGAGGGAGAGCGTAAATGGAGGAACATTCTCTGGAGTGATGAGATGAAAATAAATTTGTTTGGGAATGACTCAAATTTACATGTCCGAAGACCTAAAGGCAAAGAGTTAGATCCTAGATATACAAAGAAGACGGTTAAGCACGGAGGAGGCAGCATAATGGTTTGGGGCTGCTTTTCGTGGCAAGGCGTTGGTCCGATTCATCGAATTAACGGCATCATGGATAGATTCCTGTATAAGGATATATTGAGTAGTGTTNATATAGAAAGGGACAAAAAGAGAGAGAGAGAGGGAGAGAGAGCGAGCACAGTCAATAGCGAAATCTAGGCGAAAGTGTTTTGGCCCTGTTTGCGGCTTGTTCTATTGCATCTGGTTGGGCATTTAATTGCATGTAAATTATTGCATAGCGCACAAATCACATGGCACTCAACACACACATACACACACACAGACACACACACATACATACATGCATACTCATATGTCAGCTCCCCCTCTGTTGAGGGAATAGCCTTGTCGTTGTCGTTGTCGCATTTGCGCCCATTTCCGGCACAGCTTGTGAGCCAACTGCAGTTGGCCCACACGGGTTTGGGCTAACAACATTTCCGGTTTCCATTTCTCGACTATTTGACGCGTTTGCCTTTGGGCCGCATTCGCTGAAAATGTCCGCAGCGAGACAACCCCTTTTTATTTTGTACCCAAGGGCCGCCACGACTGCCTCTTCACACTATGCCCCTACCCCACCCCTTTGGCAATGGCGCAGCAGCTGCTGCTGCTGCTGCTGCTGTTGGCTCGGCTGCCAGTCTGGTCGCTTTGCGGTTCCTGGCCACGAATCGCAAGTGCAGAGGCATCTTTGCCCATCTTCCCGGCGGCAGCTACTATTGGGATGTTGTAATCAAGTTTCGGGCCGCAAATAGACTCGTTGCGCTCGTTCGAGCGCCAAGTCTAGTCTATAATCATCAAATCATGCTTCAACTTCTATTTTATATACAGGCATGCACTTGTGCCCTCTCTCACTCCCTGCTCCCCTCCTCTCTCTCTCTCTCTCACTCACTTTGTCTCTCTCACTGTGTCTGTCTTTTCAATCAGGACTCACAT